GGTGAGCGGGGCGTTTCCCTCTACCTAAATAATCTACTTCTAAAATAACGACAGGTTCTACAGCTGGCCTCTGTCGTTTGTTTCTACAGTTCAATCAGCCGGAGGAGAACCGAGTCACTGCATTTGGAGTTTTGTTTTAACAGTGGAGCAGTCTAGACATGTAAAAGTTATACAGGGAAGGCAGAAATGACCTTGAGGACTGTTTCTGCGGTCCAGGGAGCAGAATGCGATAAGGGAAATTGGTGAGAGCACATTTATCCACAGCACTGTGCTTTTCAGGGCCTCCTGATAGTTTTCTTTTTAGAATTCATCGTCATTAAATCACAACTCAGGTCTCTTACAATACCGGCATCTTTAATGTCTCTGAGCATTTCTTGGAAGACAGGCATGGCAAAGAAAAGAGAACTTGGGCAATTCCTCAGCTCCCCTGCCTCTGAGCGCTGCTGTAATGCCGAGTGTGTGTGGAAGTGATGGGCAGTCTCTTCTTGTGACATTCAGTGTTTAACTGGATTTTGTAAAGCTGTCTGATGGGACACATGGTGCATTTCTATTTGTCAGTACTCTGTGAATTTCAGTTTTTACAATGGGATTTATGTGAAGTCCTTGATATGGCCTTTTCCTCTATGAAACAGAAGCATTGAAAAAAAAATAATAATTTGGCTTTTCCGGGGGCTGTCAAAGGCGAGATTGTGGAAAAGACCTAAAAAAACGTTTAGTTCTTTTAAGTTCCCTACAACCTAAACCATTACAATAGTGAGTTTACTCATTTCGGCTCTGTGATTGAATCATTTTCATCTGTCTTTATTCACTTCTGAGGGATATCTGTCATGTTCTTACCAAGTCACGGAAACCAGCAGAAGACTGGAAACCTTCAGTGCCTTCCGCTGTGTCAGTACATGAGAATAATTATGCAAAGCAAAATGTCTGTCATTCACTAAATGTAGAAATGCCTGGTTTGCGACGCCCCACATAATTGCACGTTGTCTTATGTTTCTTAGGAAACTACCACATTCTACTCCTAGGGAGACGCATTTTATCTTTTCTGATCTGCATAGTTAAGCTATGTTTAGTTCTGATGTATACTGCTGCGTCTTTTTCTAAATTTCTAATCAACTATTTCATGTTGTTAATTTGTTAGAACATAGGTTTCTTTTTCCTTTTGATGCCTTTTATGGGGTTTTTGGGGCTGCTCGGCTAACCAGCATGTCAGCCGTGTTTATTATTTCTGAATGCATGCAAGCTACGACTCCAGTCCTCTACGACATGACCTATACTGTATGATCAGTACGTACAAACTCAAGTGCAAGTTGCTGATTAGTCTGTTTTGGGTCAGCGGTCAGTGTGAGGTTTGCGAGTGAAAATCTGTCTGTCCAGGAACTGCAGATACACTAGTCTTCACAGGTCAAGCGCTGTAAAGAATAAGGGGTGTTGAGCAAGTATCTGCTGTATTCTCTGACCTGTCCTGTGGGAACTCTGAGGAGATGACCATGAAGGGCTACCATATGGCCATTTTCCCTAGATGTTCAATTCAAACAGGCCTATTGGCATGACCGATGAATTTCAGTGTTGCCAAAGCGAATACAATGAACACAACATCTACAGACATTTACAATACAAAAACATCATAAGACAATTGCATACAATATACCACAGGTATAACCAGACAGTACAGACGTACTGCCAGACAGGTTCATCAAAGTTCCTCAGGCCGTGACAGGAGACATATTCTATTATTGTTACTATAATTACTATTATCATTATTATTACTATTATCATTATTACTGGGGGACAGGCTCACTGTTCCTCAGGCTGTGACCAGAGATCACCTACTGGGCTGCCAGTTCAACTGAGTTCCCTCATCCCTCTCCCAGTAGGATTGGGAGCTGTTCCGATTCTTCCGGCAGGTGTGGGATTTCTGGGGTGACATTTGTTATTTTGGGGCAGAATGATTGTCTAACCCCAGAATACCTCTCACGTCGCAGCGGAACGTGCATTCTGTATCTGCCTCTGTTTCTCCCCGCTGCCAGTGGAAGCCTGCCCTCTGTGGACGGGTCTGTCTGTGTCGCCCAGTTTCTAGACTGACTGACTATCTGCTCTGGGCCTCCTGCCTCTGAAGGTACAGACCTGAGCAGCAGTTTCCTGCTGTACCCCACAGCCAACACGAAGGGCAGAGGCGTCACAGAGGGCTTTGTGAATACTGGCTGTAATTGGCCACAGGATTTATGGATGTGATGCACATTTGCAGTGTTCCAGAACCGAATGCCATTTTATAATGGCCTTAATGACCTTAATATACAGTATGGTAACCGGAGGGCCATTTGCAAAGTCTTGATGCTGAAGGAGTAAAAAAGAAGAAGAAAAAAAGAGTTCAGTTGTCTGCTATTTTGGGGGAGGATGTTTTTTTTCTTCTTAAACTGATCTAGGATTATGAAATAAATGGATAAATCGTGTGGAAAAAAGGTTTTGTGGGC